TGATGAACCAAAGCTAGGACTAGTTGAGAGGTTAAGAGGAGTAAAAATTTCATCGATAGGACGGAGAGGACCCCAAAAGCAAAATTTACCCCCTCGGCGGTATAAGAAATAAGTACCTGCGTCTCAGCAATCTTGCGGGAAGCCTCCTCCATCAGAGGAACTGGAGCGAACCTCTGGTTGTTGATCTCCAGCAGGTTAGAGGGTAGTGAAGAAAGGGGTGGAGCAGAAAAGTCAGAAGATTTTGATGAGCTGGCCATTGTAGTGAGCTTAGGAAAACAGAAAGGAAAGAGTTAACGGATGAGGTAACAGGGACGAAGGCAGGAGCTCAAAGGAGAAGATGAAATTGCAAAGAGGGTGATAGTTCGCGTAAAAACTAGAGTAAAGATCAAGGAAAGGTTAAAGGGAAATCGTATGGGGAGTTGGAAGCGACGGAAGGGAAAGGTAATTAATGTAACTTGTACTGAAAGGCAACAGACTGACGAGACGGCGACGTAAAGTGGAAAAGAAACCTAAAATCTCTTTTAACCCTAGAACCCCAGAAACCCTAAACCCTAAATCCTGTGGGCTTTCAAACACTAAGGCGGGAATATTGAAAGAATATAAAACAGAAATCATCTATATTCTTCCAAAGGGGGCATTTTGTTAGTGGCAAATCGAGAAAAGCGATCGAAATCGAAGGAAAGAAATGTGACTCGATAAGATAAACAAAAATTCATTCGATGTCTAATTAGAAATACGTAGCACATAGTATCGAGAAGCACAATTGAGAATCGAATGAATTATAATCAAATGACTGTTGTCGAATAAAAACTAAGTCACATAAGACCATGGTTAAAAAGGAATCGTAAGCAATTCGAAGTTCTCGAAAAATACAGAATCGAGAGAAAAGAAAGCCAATATGGACATCGAGACTTTGGCCAAATCGTGAAAGGAAGTAAGTCGAATGTACGTATAAAGAACAATTTTGAAATCATGGGAAAAGTCAGAGATCGTGAGAACGTGGGAAACTATAGAAGATAAACTGCCATACGCACGTAGAACGTGGTAGCAGTCGCGTTAACTGCTCTCGGAAGGCTTGAAGGATGCCCTATAAATAGAGCAAAGGAGGAAGGAACAGGGGGGGCAGAAATTGGCAGAGAACAGGATCAGTAGTGAAAAGTCTACCGGAGAAACGACGAACACCATGAAGCTTCTGGCAATCTGGATTTCCTTGCTCACTGAGTACATTTACTGCTTTCTGTATTTTCCTTGGTAATTTATTTTGATGCAACTTAAATTCAGCAATTTTATGTTTCTGTATTTTCCTTGGTAATTTACTTTGGCACAACTTAAATTCAGCAGTTTTATGTTTCTGTATTTTCGATTCCTTGTCCATTTCAATTCAATGAAAATTTGAGTTTCTGTATTTAGATTTCCTGTCATTTACTTTTCTTGCAATCTCAATTTCTTGTCATTTATATTTGCGTTGTTTTCGATTTCTTGCTATTTACAATTAATGCAAGTTTGGGGTTTTCGCAATTTACATTTCCTCGCAATTTAATATTACGCTTTTCGATTCGATAGTCTTAATGCTTTCGATACTTTAAATACAAAACACCAAAAACGGCATTTTCGATATCCTGTAGTTTTCGATTCTCATACACGTTTTCGATTGAAAATCAGACTGCTAGCCTAAGTAAAAAGAACTTACGTGGGAGGATTTCGATTAAAGACTAAAATACCCTTAGAATCGAAATCGATCGAAATTCCACCAGAAACAACCTGTTTTTCATAAATATTTAGAATTTTTAGAGGATTTAACGTATGCAATGAATAAAGAGATATAAAATTAATATGTCCCTTTTACATGTCAACGTCATGATAAATATATTCCATAAATACAAATAAAAATATTTGAATTGCATGGGTTTCATCAATCATGAGTCAAATAACCGTTTAATAATTACCGTATTTTGCAAATTCATAAAGATTTAAAAATAAAATAATTGTTTTATAAATTAAAAAATTAATTTATACGTTAATTAAAAATAAACAAAAATATATTAAACTATATAAAATAAAGTAGATTAATTTACGTAGAAGTTAGTTTTAACTTATAAAAAATAATTTAAAATTAAAAACATTTTCTTAATATGATGATTAATGATATTTTTGTTCATATTTGTATCTCTTAGCGGTAAAAGAGAGTAAAAATATATTAAAATATTAAAAAATAATGTGAAATATTTTTCTAAATTTGTTAATGATTTATTTGAGTTTAGAGATATTAATTTTATGTTATTTATATTTTTTTGGTTGAAAGCAAAATATTCCTCCAGTAGAAGATATAAGATGTAACTCTTAGAACATATATATATATATTAATTGAGTTTTATTTCATCTTAGTGTTCTCTAAAACGCAATAACTAAGATATTTATTTGCTTGCTAATTTTATGCTTAACATCCAAATTTTATTTAGGTTATCTTATGGCCACACAGAATATCAATTTTAATTAATATCTTCTCAACAACGTGTGAGTTATTAAATTAATTAGCGAGTTGATAGGGTTACTCTTTCAACATTTTAGTTTTCATAATCACTTATTTCTATATTTACACTTCTAAAATACTATAATCACTTTTTCACACAGAAACATAGATGGACTAATGAATTAATATGATCATTGGAATATGAAACTTTTTATTAACAAATTAACTTGATTTCACAAGACTTATGAGTGAGTGAAAAATAGTGATTACATCTGGTATGAAATGAAATAATTGAAAGGTGGATAAAAGCACCAAAATGATCCACTGTTCCTCACTTGTTCACTGAATCCTTCACTGCATCAACGGCTCCCTGTGCCTTGGCCTTCATCTGTTGACCAGTCTGCACAAAATAAAATAAAAATCATGATGAAAATTTGTTCTACCTCTGTCTATACAAAATTATTCACCTCTTGCATGGAGTCTTGTGCTGAATGAGCAGCATCTGAAGCCTTGTCCATCATGTTGCTGGCCTTTTCCTGTAGCCACATACAATTGTAAGCACTAAAACAACAACACAAATCTTGATTCTATTGAAGACTTGAACAAAAATTGTGATGAATCACATGACATGAGACAGAAAGAGAGAAAAGGAAACCTGAGTTTGGCCTTTGGCCACTCCGGCGTCGTAACTGGCCTTCTTGGAGTCCATGTTTTCTTAAGTAAAGTGTGAGTGAATGAATGAAGAAAGAAATGAAGAATGGTTGAGTTTGAGACGCAGATTACTTTGCAGACTCTGTTCAGATTTATATATGCTTCTCAAAACACTACATTGCCTAACACGTGTTTTACTTGTCCTATTTTTAGGGTCTCAGATTGAAATTTTCAATTTCCTTGGATTCTGGGACACATGTCATGTCATTCTAAATAAATTAATAAGGTTAAAAGATTTTGTGGACCAGACTAAACCATGTGGCAAACACCTTCCATTTACTACTCTACCTCGAGAAAATACCAACAAAACCAGTTTCATGGATTAAAAGGAAAATTAAAAAAAAAAATTATGAAGATTAGTTTTTGAATTCGAGAGATTTACAGTTAAGAATTAAACAGCAGAATTAATGTGAAAATAATACGATTTTATTGACAAGATTTGTATTATGTATTTATTTGAATAAAAAGTGTTATACGTCTGCTTAATATATTAATTAATTTTGCCGTATCTAGTTTCATGATGTTCTTATGATAGTTTATTTTAATTTCGAAGTTATATCTACAACCTGGAACAAGGCATATTGTATATCATAAATCCACCCATCACATATTGTGAAATCAAATCAATATGTAACAGAAAGTGGTACGAAAAAGTGAAAAATAAGAAATTTAATACGATAAAAATATTAAAAACTGTGACAAAAAAAAAGGTACGAACCAGGTTATTAATTTTTTGTAGAATTACTTCATTTAATAAAATTTTATATATTTTAATAATGGAACTATGAATATTGTGATAAACAATCTCAACTATCATTATCTATTTTGAGAGTCAATATTTTCACATTATGCAGAATCTCTGAAATAATTTTTTTATTGACTTCGGATCTATCTCCTGGAATATTTTCATGATTCATGCACTTGTCCCAAAAGGAATGTTATCGTGAACACTTGGTTTTATGGTAAGAAACAAAACTCTAAAAATTAAGTTTTTAAATAAATGTCAATTTTAAATATTTCAAAAAAAATAAATTTAATAGATGAGAAAAAAGACACCATAGAATTGGCCTATGGAAATAATAGAGTAGAAGTGGAAGATAACTGGACTAGTTTGAAATTCATTTTTAATTTTACTCGTCTGTTATAAACTACAAACATAAATTTAAATAAATAATTTACCTTTTATACGATTAATTTTTTGATTAAGTGGCTTTTATTTTATGAAACATCTCACTGTCTTTAGAAATTAAGTCTGAAGGACTGCACCATGATTTATAGTATTACAAAAACAGAAACAAGATTTATAATAAGCACGCGATTGAATATTTGACAAAATTCATATTATGATTTGCGATGCGAAACCACGTCTGGTCAGAAATCATTAAAAATTTGATTTTTTTTAGCACAATGATATTTTGATAATCGGACAATTTTAAAAAACAATCAACTTTTTATATTATAATAATAATTTTAATTTATTTTCATTTGTATTACATTATTTTATAATTATTATATTAATAAAAATGAATTATTTGAATTCTAGAGATGTAAAAATATCACGAGTATTTAACACTAGATGAAGAGAATAAGAAACCGCATATCCAAACCGAACACACAAAAAGTTATAATAAAACGTATTTATTTATTTATTATATGTCAATGACAGAGCCGCAATAGCCTCAGTTGAAAAATATCAGCAGAATCTCAGAAACAAAAAGTGAAGCAGCACAGCACGTTCATTGCTTCACTCACATCATAACCCCCAAATTAACACACTGAAAAGTAAAGAAAAACAACAAAACGTAAAAAGCAGTAGTAATTATATCTCCCTTGATTCATCTTCGTTTTCATCTTCACTCCAGCAGCATCTCAGAATAGACCTGGGAGAAGCACTACCATCGCCTTGAACAAATGTTTGGTACACAACTGCACCACCTTCTCCAAGCTCTTCGGTGCACCTCTCTCCACAGTAGTATCCAATGACGTCCAAGGGAAATTTGTCTAGTTTTTCACCATGCATGTCAATGTGCAGAGCAACAGAAAACTCTGCTGGGCGGAAGCATGTTAAAACCCTTTCCACAAGTTCACCTAGAGCCATGTCATCGTAGTTATAACCAACAGCTTCGAAACTAGCATAACTGAACCCATCTTCTGGAGTTACATGGATTGTTGATATCGCATTCCCTTCTATTCCATTCATCGAATATCCACAAGGGTCAAATTCAAAGTCACATATATCAGACAGTGGAAGGATATTCCTAATTCCAGAATTCTTAGTCATCAAAGCTGCTGAAGGTGTATTTTCTTTGAAAAATACAGAAGCACTTTCCTTGTCTAAACCAGTCATACACATCTCAAGGCCATAAACAGCTTCCGATGATCCTTTTTCCTGTGCACTTGCAGAGTAGATGTGCCATAACTGCGACTTTGTAGGGTCGCCCATAGCATAAGCTTTGCTACCAGAACCAAGGTTGCCGAAATAGCTATCAAGAACAGAAACCTCTTCTGAAAAGCTACGATGAGGAAATGTCTGGGCCCCGGGAAAAATGAAACTTCCGCGAGTGTACCTCACAGATTTCACTGAAATGTCAAGAGCATCAGCTAACTTGAGAATTACAGGGATGGACAGAAGCAATTTGGTAGTCCCGCAAGTTTTTATGATAATTTTGTAAGGATGGACGAACAGGCTTGACTCGGACAGAACATAAGAGTCAAGATAATCGTTTGAAAGTGATGAAACAATAGTGCACTCCGCAGGTTTCAGAAACTCATCCAATTGGTCTCTTGACAATGCTCGGAGGCCAACTCCTCCAGGGTCAGCAAACACACCACCTTCAGAAAATGTTATTTCAAGCCTTTTTTCATAACCTTCAAACCCAATAGCTGAAACTGCCATCTTGACTCAAAAACAAACGAACGTTTTGCAGTGCGGGTAGAGAACAAAAAGACAAGGGAGAGAACAAGAAAAAGAAAAAGAGGAAACTAGAACAATTAAGCAGATGCAGAATGAAGCCGGGGGCTATGTAACTTTATAAGCTAAATCTCAGGATGGCTTGCGGATGCACTGCAATAGGCAAAATTTTGAGTATTAAACGACAACGTTGGATACTAAATGTCCCCATTTAATCATCAGAAAATAAATGGAATAGAAACTTACGTTGGAGTAAGCAGCGGATCTGAACTTCTTGATTCCACCGTGTGGGCGAACGTCTTCAATGATGTAATCGAGAGGAGCTTCGTACAAAAAGGATTTATTACTACACGACTTCGTCTTCCCACCTTTTAACTCCATCAGATCATTCAGACCTTTCTGACAAAAGAAGAAAGTAAGATCAAATGATAGAATGGGCTAGCAATCGCTATACAAACATGAATTCTAGATTTTTTATTGTGAGAGGAACATAAATATATAAAGTTATGAAGGGAAATTTGCAACTTGAACAAATTCACCATGCATGTGGCGTAATTTCTCAACATCTGAATAAATAATTAAATGAATATTGTCACATTATCACGCCAATTCCATAATCTGTTCATAAAAATACGATCAATTGGAAAAAATGAAGTGTGCCTTCATGCCTAAATTGTATGCAACGTAAAATTTAAGATGTTTATAATCTCTATATTTTAAATGAAAAATATGTTTGTAGTATTCGATAAGAACTAAGATATAAAGATCATAACTTCTGAGATATTCTTTCAGGCAAAAAAATAAATTTAAATATTTTTTATTCAAAAAAAAAATCAAAAACATAAGAACATGGATCATTTTGAAAAGGTTATAAAACTGGAGTGCAAAGAAATAAAAAATACGATCAATATTAAAAATCAGAACCCCAAAATGTTCCTTCCAGTCCCCATAAACCCTTTCAATCAAAATAGACAAACAGGAGCAAAAATATACATTCAGATTCAAACAAAATGTTTACCTGACATTACAAACCAGAAAAAAAAAATTGGAAATAATAACACAACAACAAGAAAAACAAAATATGAATACTCTCTTTCAATTCATTAGATCTTGTAAAATTTTAATCATATTCACCTCCAAAACATAAACAAGAATCTTTAAGAAAATCAAAAACAAAAAATTGATACTTACAGTTTATATATACAATGGGAAGCCAGCGAAGCTGTCTGATATCCCCCCTCGAAATTATACTTGGAATCTAAATTAACCCAAACAAATATCAAGAACAGAGAAAAAATAATAAATTAAAGAAAACATAATTGAAATGCACTCACAACAATTCAAGGAAGGGAAAGGAACGGGCAAACAAAGGTGAAATTCGAGAGAAAAAGGGTTTTGATTTTTGAGATATTCAAAATATTTGGGTTGTTACGGGAGATGAGACGTGAAACTTATATAGGAACCTAAGCGAATGGGAAAGTACGATAATACCCTCGTAATTTTCTATCTTTCAATTTCCACTACTCCGATAAATTTGGCAAAGAATCTCAGCTTACGTGCTAAACAAGTAATACGTTTAATTTTATCGTTTGATTAGTTATAGAATAGAGATGTTCCTTTTTAAAGGTGGATAAGAATTTATTAAATTTTAATTTTGGTAAATTAACATTATAGGATTATAATATACTCATATAATCTTATCCTTTCCTTTTCAAAGATATATATTCAACTACTGTTTTAGATCCTGCATTACATAAATAAATATAAATATTTGAATTTTAAAGATAGTTTATATTTAAAAATTGTTGGTGATATTCCGAAACATGAATTTGTATATATTGTATAAAGAAAATAGAAATGTAGGATCTGTTTATAAGATTAGGGTAAGAAATATGAATTAGATGAGAGGGCTTAAAATGGAAGAAGAAGAAGAAGAAAGATGCGATTTGAAAAGAGGAGTGGTAGTGGGGCACGTGTGCGTTCGTGTGAAGGAGGTTGGAGAGAAAAAGAATGAATTGGATGTTTTATTCTGCCCCACATCGAATAGCTTTTTTTTTTCTCAACGGGAGTTCATCCATTCTCTCCCGTCCACATTGCATGCATATGCTTCCACATCACCATCACTTACCATTCCATGCCTTTTTCTTCTTTTTCTCAATACCAAATATTTATTTATTTATTTATCTATTTATCGAGTTTCATTGATTCCTTCATGCTTTCTCTTATACGCAATCCAAATTCTCCCGTTTCTTAGGCTCCTTTCTCGTGTTGGGAATGTTCTGTTTTACTATTTTTATTTTGTAGTGCCACATAAAGCGATACAAAATAAAATAAAATAAAAATAGACGAATTTAATTAATATAAAATATCATGTTGTATAAATGACTCAAGTTTTTTTATTGTTGACTTCTTTTCGCAATTAATTTGCACCAAAAACAGGTGGTCCTCGTCTAGGTTATAATTTTACGATCACATTACCTTATTCCTTAAGTGGGCCTATATCTAATTTTGGGCCCGCTTTCTATAAATGGTCAGCCAGATAAAAAATAAAGCCCAGGTTGAATCTTTATAGATCCGTTTTACAGGTTGGAGCCCAACATTGCTAACATTATTTTTTTTACAATAAATATATGGTTATAGAGAGATGAGCACTATATATTTTTAGTTTAATAAATAAATAGTCTTCAAATTCTACGACAAAAATAATGAAAATTCATGATAATAGTTTCAAAATTACTTAATATATTTATAAACTATTTCAAAAAAAAAATATTCAATCTCTAAATACTTATTTCACTTGAGTTTTATTTTTTTATTAACTTTCTATCATCAATTTTCCTTAAAGGAGATGCGAAGACCAATAAAAAAAGTTAGATACAACTTCAGGAACTCAATTGAAAAATTAGTTCAGGAATCTAATTAAAAATTTTCAAATAGTTTAGGGACATACAAATTAATTTAATTTTAAATATATCTAAAAATAATATATTTCATATTAAAGTATAAAAAAATGAGTTCTAAACTTGCTTTTAACTCCTTAAGCAGAAAGTAACATTTTCTTTTCAGTAATTCAAGTAACATAATTGGTGCAATGCATTTTTTTCTGTGGTTGTCGTTTTGTTGTGAGTGTTTTGTGTTTTGTGTTGAGTTCAGTGTCTGAATGAAAAAAGTTGAAAATCCATGGAATCCAACTCAGTAATAGCTGGGATGGAATCTTTAACTTTGAATTCAATAATTGAATTTGAAATGTTACCCTTTTGAAAGAATAATAGTTAACAATGGAACATCGTATGTGCAAGTAGTATATAAAATGCATCAATGTGATTTGTTACTTTTGGGCTTGGGTCATTTTCCATGTTAGCAATCGGTGTGAGTTGAAATTGACACTTTTGCAATTGATTGTGTTAAATGATGATGGTCTATAGATAGATTGCTACCACATCATGACAACGAACAAGCTGTGATTTTCTCATCACTTTTTCGATGAAGAAAAGCACCTTTTGACTCTCCCTAGCAAATGGAACTAGTGATTTTCTCATCTTCGTTTTTCTTAATGGAATGGACCAATTCGATTTGAAAATTATACAAATAGAATATGCAACTTGGAAATTTCATTTTGTGTTCTTGTCTTTTGAATCATGGTTAGTGGAGTCACTTTGAAAGTTGAAAATTACAAAATTATTAGGCACTTACAATGTATTTTTTATTATTATCATATTAACATGATTTTAATTTTATGTTTTCAGAGCTATATTTTATAGAATATATTTTTGTAAAATAACAAGAGATATTATTTTGTTTACTTCATGTTATTAACTGGTGAATTGAAGTTGTAAGTGATGAATTTATAAGTTTCTAGTGAAGTTGCTGAATTAGAAATTAGTGAGCCACAATAAAAACAAAGTTGAATGCACTTTTCATTGATTTGAGCGCACAATTCAAATAGATAATAGGATTTACCTGATTTGTACACAGATTTAGCTAATCCTATTGTCTAAAATCGATACATTATTACATCCCAATAATTCGTCCCACCAAAATAAAATAAAAAATGAAATTAAAAGACAGCAGCTTTTAGCCTCCTTCCCAGCTCCTTCCTGCATAGGAAAACATGAATGCCAGATCAGAACAATGCGAAGCAAATGTTTGTGTGTATGCCACAACGGAGAGTGGTTAAAATAAAATATTTACCTCATAAGTTGCCTGTCAAAGCCGCAAGCAGCCAATACTCCTCTATTCTCTTCAGCCCTTCTCAGGAGATATGGCATAACAGTTTCCACAGGTCCAAATGGCATATACTTACTCACTTGAAACCCTGCATTGCTTAGACCAAAGGAAAGGGCATCTGACATGCCATGCAGCTGTGCAAATTCAAGTCTGTCGTTCACCTTTCCAATCCCCACCTCATGAGCTTTTGCAGCAGCCAGTTTCCCTACACATTATATAGACACCCCCTCAATTGGATTCTCACTCCATTAATCATCACATCACAAAAATTTGATATGGGTGGTAAATTTAGTAAGTTTTATTACAGTTTTCCCGAGAGTGATGCTAATACATATACATTAAACAGAAGAATGATGATAACTGATGATGTATGTACCTGACTCCATATTGTGAGTTGCAAGGACAACTCCACCAGGGCCATTAGCAATCTTCTCAAGCATGAAAGATGAGCAATCATTGAAGCACTTGTGCGTGTCGTCGATGGTGTTGTGAATTGGGGATTGATAACCCAAAGACTCGGCCAATTTTGTTTCGCTTGACATATAAGCTCCCCTCACAAGTTTGAACCCCATTGGGATTCCCATCTTCTCTGCTGCCATTACTGTCAGCAGCAACCTCTCTTTGGCATCCTTCAGGTAGGTCTGAATGGTGCCATACACAATGGCGTTATCATCCTTGTTGTGCAAGATGGCAGAGGAATAGGTGAAGTAGTCAATAGCAGGTTGAACAGTAGTGTGTTCAGCATCAACCAATAAAGGGATGTTGGCTTGTGCACACTTTTGGCAAAGCTCATGGAATCTCTGAATGGCAAGTTCAAGGTCCCTCTCTTCCTCTGGGGTGAGAGGCTCGGGTCTAGTCCTTGTGTGGTACAGAGGGCTTGCCTCGGAGAAAATGGGGAGACACTCTTGCTTCCATGGCAAATTGAAAGAGGGATCCTTGTGCTGCCATCTAAGCAAGTCACCCATTCTTTCCAGTAGACTCATTGGACATATTGCAGTGATTTTCACAATCACAAAGCTCACCTGTCACATCAAACAAATTCATTTTGGAACCATTAGTAATCATCATCATCATAGCCACTCAACTTAAAGCACACCACTCTCTCCCACGTGAAAAAGAAAGGAAAAAGCACAAGCAGCCACAGGATTTGCGTGGTCTACTAGTGCGGTAGTACCAAAAGGAAATTGACAAGGAAATCACGATGGTTCTAGACAGTAGTAGTAGTAGTAATAGCCAAGTCGATGCAAGCTGTTGTTGGAGAAAAAACAACACTCCACTCTACCCCATTTCAAGTACCGTGCAACCAGTGAAATGACCAATCTTTGTACCTCCCAGTAACATCATATTTAACCGTAGTAGTACTAGATCTCATTCCTATTCCATGTACGAGACCACATCCATGCTTGCTAGCTCCAAATCATAGGTGGGACCCCAATCAAGCCACCGTTTCGATTTCACATTTCAACAATGCCATTTAGCACATTCATCAGTCACTTCCAGATCGCACCATTCGTTGCCGATCTGTTACATGCAAAAACCCAAGAACAAACAAACAAGAGGAGAAAAAACATTGTCCTTGTACACATACACACCAAAATTTCATTCCTCCCAATTTTATACACATTGTCAAACAATGGCAAAAAATTGGTGTAATGAAAATGGTAAATGGTGTAATTTTTATACGATCAGTAACCAAAACATATTTATGATCTCAAAAGCTAAAGATTTTGGCATGTGTAAATGCATCAGATCTTTAACATTATATAAATGTTATATTGAGATTAAAACCATGCACAACAATGCAGGGTAATCATAAAGACTATAATGATTGGTCGAGATCATGCATATGTATTGATGCTGATACATATAATAATTTTTTTTTTCTTGTGACAATGACATTTTAACGAAGAAAAGTGGAGGGGAAGGATGAGAAAAATGAAGAAGGGGTTACCGAAGAAGGGGGAAGAGATCGGCTGACATCGATGGTGCGGAGAAACGCTGTGAAGTTGCGGTCACAGGCTTCATTGTCGAGGGCGTCCTCGACGCCGTAGACGAGCATGCCGCGGAGGCCGGCGTGGTTGAGAGCGTGGATGCTAGAGGCGGCGGTGGGGGCGTCCTCTCCGGCGCAAAAGTGTTCGTAGAAGGTGGAGCGAACGGTGCCGAGGATGAGTTCGTGGAGGCCAGGCACTTGCGCAAGGTTGGATCGCATGAGCCAGGTGCCAAAGTCGACAAAGGGCTCGACAGCGGTGGCGTGAAGGACGGCGGTGGATCGAAGGAGCGTGGAGGTGCGGACGTGGGAAAAGAGCTTCTCAACGTCGTGGAAGTTAAGGTCGGCAGCGGAGGCTGGACGGAGCACGGTAGAGGTCGGGGGTGGGAGGCAGGGAGAAGGAGAGAGAGTCGGGGAGAGAGGAGGGTGCACGGAGTTGAGGGGTTTTGAGGCGGTGTTGTAGCGGAGCTTCCTTAGGATTCTTGGTGGGATAACACGGGTGGCCATGTAACAAACAACGTAAGACGTTGTTTATGGTTAAGGAGGTGGCGGCGGTGGTGGTGGTTGGCTGTGTTCCTCCCTTTGATATTTTCCTCTCTCTCTTTCCTGGGGACCTAAAAACGCTGTGATGAGATGCAAAATGTTACTTTTTCATGGTGCCCTTCTTCCTCCTTTTTATAGGTCTCACCATGCAACGTTGTCCTTCGATTGTTCCCTCCATTATAGGTCTTTTTTCTGCAAATTGTGTTTTTCTTAGTCTGCTCAAGTGACCGTGACCTTCGGAACGAAAGGCTCATATGTGTCAGACACATACGGTGCTGACTCGGATCCACCTTAACCCCCGTCTTCATCCCTCTCATCATAATCTTCTTAGATTTGATCTCTTCTCTCGCTTCACTCCACCTACTCTCTGCCATCTGTACACACTTTCTATTTTCTCTACCATTCTATATTTATTACCTCCTCCTCCTTTCTTTAGCCATCATTTTCTGGTTTTGATTTCTTCCAATAACGTAGGATGTTGCTCAATCAATCACTCTATTTACCATCACTTCTTTTTTCCTTACTTTTTGCCTCCTCACCAATCAACTTGGACTCAAACTTTTTTTTACTCTCACTCTTCACTCTTCACTCTTACTCAAACCTTATTGGGTGATCCAAACAATAATGCATAACAATGAACTTGGATACATAAATCTATTTTTCAGGCAATGTATATTTTTCATATAATTTGAGTTATCATTGATATACACAATTGTTATGTAAACTTTGTCAAAATATTTTTACATGACATTTACAGTTATATATATATTAGTCAAATTTGTTATATGACGAAGGAGTGCAAAAGTTTCTTACATAACAGCTACAATCTATATCCTATATGAATTATTAGAGATAGATTAATTTGCTCCTAATTTTATTGGTCTGAATTTCTTATATCTTAAAAAAGAACATTAATTTCAAATAATCGAATAAGTTAAGAATTGGGTAGATTAGTTTCTCTATTTTAATAGTCTTATTCTTGTATTTTTGACAAATATAAACAATTAAATTAATTTTATAAAAAACATATTTTGAATATGTTAAAAACAAAAATGACTAATGCATTTGTCTATATTATTTAATAAAAATCCACAAATGTATAGTTGATAATTTTACAATCAATTAATTTTTCTAAAGATCACCAGATGGTTGACGGATTGAAGATTACAATATTTGTCATTTACCAATAAGCTAACTGCTTTGTAATCTAACACAAATTCGTTTAAATGCATTCTGCTATTTCAATTTTGACTTTTAATGTGTACTTATTTAAAACACATTATCATACTAATTTGTTCTAAATTATTGTACTTGTTTATCAGATATAACTTTAGAATATGTTAATAATTTAATGTAAATTTTGATTCAGAAATTTAAATATTCCTTTTGAATTATATCACGACTATCTATATTTTGTTAGTTTTAGAAACATTTTAATATTACATTGATAAATTTTTGTACAATTATTTATAAATAAATAAAAATTATTTCACAAATCTCCTCCATATTATCTTACTAAGATACACACCAAATAGAATTCATACAAAAACTAATTATAAAATATTGTTTTTATGACATATAATTAGCTTCTTATTTGAAAAATATATTATTTTAATAACTTTTACAATTATGTCATCAACCTTATTATTTATTTATATTCTATTATAATTATAATAACTTGTAAATCTATTGATACAGAAATAAACTTTAATATTTTTCTTCTCACTCTTTTCCTTCCAAATCACAAGGCACCATCTATTTTCTTCCTAAAAGTTGTGCCGAGATCTGTTCACTTGTCCAATGGGGCAAAATTGTCCAACCCCTTCTTTCTCAAGCATTTGCAATCCACCAATTCATTGTATCCATTTCAAAGAAATCATGTAATTTAATATATCAAGTCACAATTTTCTATAGACAAAATATTCAACTTGCACAGATCTTACACTAGTAGAAAACAGATTAAAAAAAGTCATGCAAAACTTGAAACAAACATTTTTTCTGTGTAGCGTTAGATATAGATACAAACGCTACGTACCAAACAGCACAATACATGAACCTGAGACTGGGAGAACCATTATCAAAAGTGATCCCTAAAACCAACCAACTTAATGGTGAGTCAGTGTAAATTCTATAAAGAAAATAAAGTACTAAAAATCATATAATATATGAGGAGAACGAGAATGCCTATAATAACGCATCTTAGATATCCAACAATGGAGAGAGAAAAGCCCTTGTATTACTATTCTCTGAAGTTAACAAAACAAAACATTTACCAAGTGCTTCTAAGTTCTAAGTACAGTGTAAATGCTATCACTCTATATTAGCCAATTGACAGTAATGTTTCCTAGCCATGTGAATAATGGGAACTGAGCCAAAGCAATGAAGAGCAAAAGATAGTGGTGTGTGCTTGAATCATAACTCCTGACTTCAGCAAAAAGGACTCTCTTCATTGTTTTAACCAAGAACACTGCCATACATAAGCAGGTCCACAGCATCAGAAAGTAGTAGGAGTAACTCCATATTATTCTTCCACAAACAGCCAAACACAACCCAGTGAAAGTGTACCCAGCATATGCTATAATGTCCAATAGAGGTGCTTCCCCAGTGCCCAATGAAAGTAAAGTAACTTTAAGCAGTCCTGTTTGCATAAACCAACCAACCATTCCCTTGATAAATAACCAGTTCAAAGCTTCAGGACTAAACCTGCCCAAAACAAATACAGCGTGTTAAAAAAACTATGACAAACTAGAAAGCATGTAGAGATGGAACAAAATGAGCACTATAAAGCAAACTAAATTCTCAGCGAACCTTACCAATATCCAGCTATGGAATTATTAAAGTAACAATCAAGAAAATGAAATTAGTAATCTTCATACCATAGAAGATAATTACTTGTCTGACTTCTAATCAAGTTTTATATATTTTAGTTTTGAACACAAGAATAAAGATAATATTTGGACTTGAATTTTTTTAAAAGAAAAAGACTCGGTATTACACCTACACAAAAAGGGGACGTGCCATTGTTCAACCCTGTTAATATACAGTACCATTGTTTTATTGCACAAAGTAAATAAGCATTTGTATATTTCTCTTGGCACCACCACAAACAAGCAAAATTCCTTTTTTAAAGAACAGTGAATAGTATATACAGGCAAAAACAAACTCACTCTCACGCAGAGGCCAGGTGGCTAACTTTGAATTTGATTAAAATACACTGATCATTTCAGTACTATACTATAGAATTGAGATTAAGGATATATTATACTTACTTTCCACGTAAACCCAGTGAGATGCCAGCAAGAACAACATAGGTACCAAATGCCATTAATGGAATGTACAAGTCAGGAGCATTTATGTCATAAATTGGTGGTTTATAAGAGAGCCTACCTCCCACCGGTTCAGTAATTCTAGTCCAATGACCCTGAACACAAGGAAAAATAAATAAGGGCAAGCAAGAAGAAACAATACGATAATGAAATGCAAATTCAACTACCTAAATGTGAAAAAGGGTGACATTATTCTCACTTACCCGGTGCATGAACGGAAGCAAAATAACCTTTAATTTGTTCTTAACATAGTGGTCATTCACTTGAAAGTAGTATTGGGGATCAGAAAAATACCGGCTTATCTGTAGTTGAACAGATAAAAATATTTAAAGACAAACAACTAGATATAATATCTATAATCAAGTTAAACATGCTAACGAAAGATATTTAAAATTATCTTTCAGCTGCATCGGTTTTTCCCTCCAAAACCAAAGGAACCTGACTTGATTGAAATGTAAGCATTATTATAGTGAGAGCATCTGCCATATGTGAAATAGATTCAAAAGTGAATTGTAATGATAAAGAACGTTTAAATTTTCAAGAAAAGGATTATAAAAGGATACCAAATAATAAGATGCTAAGTTGTATGCTACAATTAAGGATGACAATTAAAGTCGTACTCATGGGACCGATCCGTCCCCGTCCCGAGTTTGTCAGAGAACGAGTTTGTCAGAGAAAAACCGAATTGACCGGAGATGAGGATGGGTAATGCAATCTCTACCCGACCCCGTCCCTTCCCCCGTTCTTGCCCCACTTTATATTTAAATTTAAATATTAATATTTTAAAAATATTTCCTTTACTTTCTCCACTATATATAAGATCATTTTTTTTATATTTCACCATTTTTACTTTTCTTCTACTCACTTTTTCATTCTTTTTATCTTGTTTAATCTTTTATATCAATTAGTTAATAACATTATTTTCTTTCTCTTACCGTTCACTTACTCACATTTCCTTAATCTCTTCAATCAATTTGATTTTTTCAATCTTTTCAACCAATTTGGCTAACACAGTTAATTTTTCTTTTTTTTATCTTTTTTTAAATATTCTATATCAATCTTAGTAGTAACTAATATTATTTTATTTCTAATTTATCTTTATTAGGTTTTATGATGTCATATTTTTTTGGATCTTATTATTCTTATTTGTTATATATTACTTTCAACTAATTAAATAAGAATTAACTTATTAAATATTTTCTTATAAACTATATATTTCATATTTTTTAAATATGTTTAAATGATAATTTAAAAAATATTAACTAATATATGTAATCAAATATTTGCATTCAGTATAATAATAATAATGTTAAGTATTTTATATCAATATAAAGAAAAGATGATTAAATATTTCTTTTACGTACATATTTTAATATAAATATAATAAGTTAAAGTATATATTTAATTAATAATAATAATTACAAATTATAAAATAATAAACATTTATTTATGTATATAAGATATTAAAATTAATTTATTATAAATATAATTATTTTTTTAGAAATAATGTAAATCGGATACGGGACAGGGCAGGGAAACCCGAAATCCAACTGGGATAAAAACTTAATTTTTAACCCCAAAAGGGATCGGGAATGGAGACGTTTAAAAAAGTCGGAGGCGGAGGCCGGGTAAGGGAGGCAAAACCCGTCCCTGCCCCCTTGCCATGCCTAGCTACAATCGTTTCGATAATCACCATATAAGCATTTATTCAAATGATGAACCAAACAGCTTAGAAACACGGTATTGAAGAGGTATTCAAAGTTTTCTAAGAAAAATCCGATTTCACACACCATTTAAATGAGAGGAAGACAATGAAAAACACGAAAGAAATTAACCATACAAAAAAAAATGAAATGATAGAGAAACAGACTCAGATATAGTTTTGTCAACCATGAATTTACATGTCAAATTAAAGATTCAATAAAAAGAATGATAGAACGATACATACATTGCTTTGGACGTACTCAGAGCTTGATCCTAATATTTTTTCTCCATATGCACCCAATCCACCTCGAATGAGTCCTGAACCAGCAGCATTAAACGCATTCCCAAACAGATTAGGTTGTGAGCTCGTTGGAGGTTGAGGATGAAGTTGAGGTGCCCCCGGTGGCATCCCAACTTTACTATACATTCTTACTGCTACATAATAAGGCATATAATAAATCAGAATTCAGAAATAAATATTTTTATAGGTTCAATGGAGATTTTAAAAAAGTCTATAACTGCAATATGAGCCACAACATCAATGTTTTAGACTCTGCAGCTGTTGGGGTTATATCGGCCACAATTTCCCGCAATGTCATGACAATCACAACCGCAATTTAAAACCATGACAATTTAAAACAATGATTGGACCTAAGAGGAAAGGAAAGATGGGAATGTGGGGATTGAAGTTAAACTCCAGCACATAACCAGAGCCACCTCCGGTATAATCAGAAACAGCGTAAACAAGCAGCAATGAACTAAATACAAAAAAATCAACGTTCTCATTACATGAAGAAATCATCCAACTAAAACATAACAAGCCAAAGTGATGCCAAGATCCATTTCAGTTCAGATGTAAAGATGACAGACTGATAAATCATCCGTAACCTCACTCTTCCGACCTATCCATGTTCCCAATTTGTTGATGCTATATACCCTAGCTAGCTTCAAACAAATAAATAGCGATGTTTAAAGCGTGAATAAACATAAAAGCGTCAATTTCATTTATTTTATTTACACAATGCTCCACAGGGGTTTAAGAAAGAACAACACTAACTTCTAATTACTTCACTAACATATAAAAACACAAACAAGGTAGAGAATGGGGATTATTAATACCCGTTTGAAAATAAAAGGATTTAAATCAGGAGCACGTTAAGCAAACAAAGTGTGAGATATTGGAGTTGTGGAAATCAAGGACAACCCAATAGCAAATAGGGTATGACAGAGTGAAAATTTGTAAGCTTCCAAGCAGACACAGACGCAGAGAGAAAGAGAGCAATCGATTATTGAAATGCTTAAAAAATTATTACAAAAAGACTTAAGGGGAAAGAAGAAGGAACCTGAATAGAGAGAGAAGGGGGGAGAGTCAACAAGAGAAGCGCGTTTGGGAGATGAATTGAAGAAGAAAGACCAGAGACAAGATCTCAGTGAGAGCGTTAAGCAACTTAACTAAATCAACGAAATTCAAAGTTTTTATTCCCTTTCTACATACGCACCGTTTTGATGAAGCCTCTTTCTCCACTTTTCTTAACCAAGAATCAAGATACTAGAAGTACTCCTGTCTTTTCTTATTTTCCATAAATATATAAACAAATTAACTATAGAAAATTCGTTTAATAGAAAACAAATGATGATTTCAATGATAATGAGAGCGACATTAATTGCAATTTAATTAGTAATTTACACATCACAGCTCTAAAAATAAGAGGCAATAATAAAATATCTTGAAAATTATATTGTTTTAGTAATTATACTCTCTGTTCCTGTTTTTTAATACATAATAAAAAATATTTTTGTTTAACTGTTAATAAATTTGTCAACTTATAAAAAAATTATAATAAATAAATACCAATTTTTTTATGTTTATAAAATAACTTTTTTTCATAATTTTATTTTTAATTTCATGAGTTTCATAAAATAAAAAAGTTGTAAAACATAAATTACCTAATAAAATTTTAAAAGAATACCTCAAATCTTATTTATTAGAAAACTTCATAATGACAATTTAATACAAGAGAAATAAATAAATAAAATGTAATATTAATTGTAGTAACTAATTTTAATTTTGACTTAATTCTTAATATGTTTCTTTAAGTCCAAATTCTAACAACTATGATAATTTAATACAAGAGAAAAAAATGTAATATTCTAACAACTACATAATGACAATTTAATACAAGAGAAAAAATAAATAAAATGTAATATTAATTGTAGTAACTAATTCTAATTTTGACTTAATTCTTAATATGTTCCCTTTAGTCCAAATTCTAACAACTAGAAATGACAATTAAACTCATATTTGTAGAGACTGATCCATTCTCGTTCCGAGTTTGACGGAAAAATCTGAGTTGACTGGGAGTGAGTTTGGATTTTTCCGTTTTAAAAAGTCGGGAGATGGGGATAGGTAATTCAATCCCCACCTCGACCCCGTCCCGTCCCGACTTTATATTTAAATTTTAAAATATTAATATTTTAAAAATATTTTTTTTCTTTTTCTATTACATATAAGGTCATTTTTTTATATTTCACCAATTTTTGTTTTTCTTCTACCCACTTTTTAATTTTTTTGTCTTTTTTTTTAATCTTTTATATCAATTAATTTATTATATTATTCTCTTTCTTACCTTTCACTTTTTCACATTTACTTAATCTCTCCCATCAATTTTTTTTTCAATCTTTTCAACTAATTTGATGAACACAAAGTTAATTTTTTTCTTTATCTTTTTCTAAATATTTTACGTAAATCTTAGTAGTAACTAATATTATTTTATTTATAATTTATATTTATTAAGTTTTATTATATCATATTTTTATCTTATTATTCTTATTTATCATATATCAAATTTTATCTTAATAAAATAATTGTATTTTAAAAGGAATAAAAGAAATTCATAATTTAAACTTTTATTACTTCGAACTAATAAAATAAGAATTAACTTATTAAATATTTCCTTATGAACTATATATTTATATTTTTAAATGACAACTTAAAAATGAATTAACTTATATATATAATCAAATATTTAAATATAATATTATAATAATAATGTTATAAGTATTAAAATATTTGAATACGAGTGTTATAATAATAATAATAATAATAATAATAATGTTATAAATATTCTCTATATATATATAAATAAATAATGATTAAATATTTATTTTACATACATATTTTAATATAAATATAATAAATTAAAAAATATATTTAATTAATAATTATTATAAATTATAAAATTATACATATTTATTTATATATAAAAAATACATAATAAAATTAATTTATTATAAATGTAATTATCTTTTTAAAAATAATATAGATCGGGGACGGGACGGGCGAGAAACCCGAAACCCAACGGGAACGAGGATGGGGACTTAATTTTTAACCCCGACGGAGATTGGGGATGGGGAAGGGGATGGTTAAAAAAGTTGGGGGCGGGGATTGGGGAGGCAAAACCAGCCCCCACCCCGTCCCATTGTCATGCCTACTAACAACACCAACGGAATCTCTTAGACTTTTGAATCTACGGGCTTTTGAAGCCTTAGTAAACACATATACTAATTGTAGTTCACATGTGCAATATTCAACTTCAAGCTTTCCATTGTTGACTTGTTCACGCAAAAAGTAAAATCTAGTCTCAATATGTTTATTGCCCAAGTCTATAGCAAATTTGTTGTCCACAAGAATTTTTTGTTGCTGAATTAATTATGCATTTAATTCCTTTAACAACATCCCAAGCCAAGCAACTTGGCATGCAGTTTGTGATGATGTTATATATTCAGCCTCACAAGATGACAATGCTACCACGGGTTCTTTGTTGAATTCAAAGATATTGGTACACCTTTAAAGTAAAACATATACCCATTAGTGTTTTTTCTGTCCTCCTTATCCTCATACCAGTCAGCATCCGAGTAGCTAATTAGCTCCAACCCTCCTTCTGATTTCTTATGAGAAAAAAGGGATGTCATAATCATAGGTACCATGTAGGTATCTTAGTATCCTTTTGGCAACATTCATGTGAGACAATTTTGGTTCTTACATGAATATACTAATTACACCAACTCTAAAGTTCAAATTAGGTTTAGTGTTGCACAAATATCTCAAACTTCCCATAGTCTTTCAGTATTCAGTATGGTCAACTTGCTCTTCACTTATTTCTTTTCCCATCTTCAGCCCAATCTCCACTAGTGTGGCAGCAGAATTACAATTATGCATTTCAAATATGGACATCAAGTCTCTTGCATACTTGGTTTGATGCATGATGGTGCAAAATTTTGTGTGTTAAAACTCAATACCAAGGAAACAATTGAGTTCCTCGAGATCACTCATTTCAAACTCATTTAGCATTTGATTTTTGAACTGAGTAATCAAGTTTATCCCGATTCCGGTAATCAACGAATTATCTACATAGAGGCATATAATGAGCTTATCTACCTTGTTATCATGGTTATAACATTTCACATACACACCTTGTTCAGATACATACCTCTTGAAACCGATTTTGTGCAAAAAAGTGTCAATCATGCGGTTCCAAGCTCTTTGAGCTTGTTTGAGTCCATACAAAGCGTTGTTTAGCTTGTACACCTTGTGTTCTTGCTCCTTAACTTCAAAATCTTATGGTTGTACCACATAAACTTCCTCTTCAAGAGGACCATTCAAGAAAGTAGATTTCGCATCTAATTGGTATTGAACCAACTTCCATAGGTTGTAATAGAAACAATGGTGCACATGATCTCAATTCTAGCCATTGGAGCATATATCTCACCATAATTTACTCCAACTTTTTGCAAAAAACCTCTTTACCACAAGTCTTGACTTGTGCCACACTTTCTCACCTTTAAGATTCACCTTCACTTTGTAAATCCATTTTAGTGTTATAGGCCTCTTATTTGGAGGTAAATCAATAAATTTCCAGGTTTGATTCCTTTTTATGGCATCAATTTCTTCCTTTATGGGTGTCAGCCAGTTTTCATTTTTGTATAACATTATTGCATTTAACAGGTTTTGCTTTGGCTACTAGTGCAAAGTTCACAAAATTTCCTTCAGTCGTGACTACTAAATCATTGAACAATTCATAATCCTAGAAATGTGTAGGTGGCTGACTAATCTGGTGAGATCTCCTTACTTGTTGATCCCTGAGACATTTTCAACTCTTGCAGTTTCATCTCCTAAAGAAATTGTGGATGCAACTCCTTGATCATCAGTTTTCCAATTCCAACATGAGTTTTCATTAATAACATCCTTGCTAATTGATATCCTTATTGTTTCAAGATACAAAACTTATATCCACGTGTTGAATGATAGCCAATCAGGATTAGAGGTATTCCTTTGTCATCCAATTTCCCTCTCAACTGGTCTGGCACATGTTTGAAGCATAAAGAGCTGAAAATCCTCATGTTTGCAACATCTGGCTTGTGCTCGAT